CCTTATGTGTGCTGGGAGGCAGTTGAACAGTCTCGGGCCCCTGACACTTATTGTATGGTCTCTTAACGTGCTAGTGACACCCCTGCTTTTCATTGGGGGGATGGTGCATCGTCTGCCAAGTCTTTTGTTTTCGTAGTGAGTGATTTTCGTGTGCAAGTTCGGTACTAGTCCCTCTAGGATTTTCCAGGTGTATATAATCATGTATCTCTCCCTCCTGCGTTCCAGGGAATACAGGTTTAGGAACCTCAAGCGCTCCCAATAATTGAGGTGTTTTATCTCCGTTATGCGCGCCGTGAAAGTTCTCTGTACATTTTCTAGGTCGGCAATTTCACCTGCCTTGAAAGGTGCTGTTAGTGTGCAGCAATATTCCAGCCTAGATAGAACAAGTGACCTGAAGAGTGTCATCATGGGCTTGGCCTCCCTAGTTTTGAAGGTTCTCATTATCCATCCTGTCATTTTTCTAGCAGATGCGATTGATACAATGTTATGGTCCTTGAAGGTGAGATCCTCCGACATGATCACTCCCAGGTCTTTGACGTTGGTGTTTCGCTCTATTTTGTGGCCAGAATTTGTTTTGTACTCTGATGAAGATTTAATTTCCTCATGTTTACCATATCTGAGTAATTGAAATTTCTCATCGTTGAACTTCATATTGTTTTCTGCCGCCCACTGAAAGATTTGGTTGATGTCAGCCTGGAGCCTTGCAGTGTCTGCAATGGAAGACACTGTCATGCAGATTCGGGTGTCATCTGCAAAGGAAGACACGGTGCTGTGGCTGACATCCTTGTCTATATCGAATATGAGGATGAGGAACAAGATGGGAGCGAGTACTGTGCCTTGTGGAACAGAGATTTTCACCGTAGCTGCCTCGGACTTTACTCTGTTGACGACTACTCTCTGTGTTCTGTTAGTGAGGAAATTATAGATCCATCGACCGACTTTTCCTGTTATTCCTTTAGCACGCATTTTGTGCGCTATTACGCCATGGTCACACTTGTCGAAGGCTTTTGCAAAGTCTGTATATATTACATCTGCATTCTTTTTGTCTTCTAGTGCATTTAGGACCTTGTCGTAGTGATCCAATAGTTGAGACAGACAGGAGCGACCTGTTCTAAACCCATGTTGCCCTGGGTTGTGTAACTGATGGGTTTCTAGATGGGTGGTGATCTTGCTTCTTAGGACCCTTTCAAAGATTTTTATGATATGGGATGTTAGTGCTATTGGTCTGTAGTTCTTTGCTGTTGCTTTACTGCCCCCTTTGTGGAGTGGGGCTATGTCTGTTGTTTTTAGTAACTGTGGGACGACCCCCGTGTCCATGCTCCCTCTCCATAGGATGGAAAAGGCTCGTGATAGGGGCTTCTTGCAGTTCTTGATGAACACAGAGTTCCATGAGTCTGGCCCTGGGGCAGAGTGCATGGGCATGTCATTTATCGCCTGTTCGAAGTCATTTGGCGTCAGGATAACATCGGATAGGCTTGTGTTAATCAAATTTTGTGGCTCTCTCATAAAAAATTCATTTTGATCTTCGACTCTCAGTCTGGTTAGCGGCTTGCTAAAAACTGAGTCATATTGCTGTCATCTGACAGTGGTGCTTGCTTTCACACCCTTTTCGTTTAATCACCTTGTGTCTGTTTGTCTTTTGGGGGATATTCTCTCTGCCATTGCATCTGCTGACAGAAAGGTTACTACAAAGCACCAGCTCTCGTCGCATTCCTGGAGGGTGGGCTAAATGTTAGTGAGAGGGTAGGGTGGATGTTACTGGGAGGGTGGACTGGATGTTGCTGGGAGTGTGGACTGGATGTTGCTGGGAGCATGGGCTAGATGTTAGTGAGAGGGTGGGGTGGATGTTGCTGGGAGGGTGGACTGGATGTTGCTGGGAGGGTGGGCTAGATGTTAGTGAGAGGGTGGGGTGGATGTTGCTGGAGGGTGGACTGGATGTTAGTGAGAGGGTGGGGTGGATGTTGCTGGGAGGGTGGACTGGATGTTGCTGGGAGGGTGGGCTAGATGTTAGTGAGAGGGTGGGGTGGATGTTCCAGGGATGGTGGGCTGGATGTTGCTGGGAGGATGTGTGCTGGGTAGGCGGGCGCTGGGAGGGTGGGTGTTTGCTGGTAGGGTGATCGGTCTGGGTACTGGGCGTGGCTGGGCGTGTGCTGGCTCACAACTGCCACTAACACCATATTAGTTTAACCCAGAATTATCCTCGGGTACTTTGCGAACACGTTTATGATAAAATAGCTGAGGAATACGTCTCATCAGCTAATTCCCTCCTACATTGCTACGACAAGCTATATTAATACTTATCAGAAAACATTATACATTTATACCTTAAGTATAAAACAATTATATACTCAGTTTTTTATAGTACTGAAATATAAATATATAAACAAGCTTGTGTGTGGAGCAACTTTTAATGCTAATAAAGATTTCAGTTCACGTTTGAAAGTGACCTTTTTTAATTAAATTTGACATTGCTGAATTCAAATTTGAGTCTGGTTTTGCTCCAACACGTACAGTGTCTGTGAAATAGAGCCCCAGGGTGAATGATTCCACTAAGACAACCAGCACGGAGAAAAAATATCAGGGAAACCTATGATTAGTTTGCTGGCCGACTACTGCTGAACACTGGACACTTTTACCTAATTAGGGGCTGTTTTGCCCTCTCTGTATCCCTGTGTATTTGTGCTATTGTAAATAGATTGGATATAGGATCTATAATAAATAGCCGCTTCAGCAGCAAAGTGATGGAAATGCTAATGATGAAAAGGTGCGTGCCGAAAAATTATGAGAATAAGACCAAGAACAATTATGAGAATAAGAACAAATATAATGTAAGATTGTGTAAAGAGGAATAAAAATCGAGGAATAGTTAGAAATAAGTAAGAAAAATGGAAAGAAGTTAAAAATTCACTTCATGTCCTGAGATGAGGATTGTAGTGTATTCAATCTATGGGAGTGATGGTTAAGTTAGTCTTGCCACGGTATTATATGATGTGGTGGTAGTTACTATGATAGCAATTTTATTTTTCAAATGGTTGGCAAGTGATGTTGAGAAACAGTGAATTGAAGAACGCTGCTTCCGTGGCTCGTAAAGCTTAGTTGGACTGGCTGATCTGGCCTGTCCTGGGTGATTTATGACCTGCCATCCCACGGACACCGCCTTAATTAAGGAAGAGCCTTTATGTAGGTACTTTAGTCTCATCCATTTTATCTGTTTATAGCCTTTACCTTTTACTGGAATTTTAAGCTACTAGTTCCCCCATCACACGTGGATTTATGGCAGATCTTAAATGTGTGTGTTGATTTGTTAGGATATTTAATGGTGATATTGTAAGTACAAAGGTGTGTAGTCTGGCGGAGCAGTTATCACATGGTAGAACTCGCCGTAGCTACGTTAATCAACTTTCACTGATCACCTGCCTCTACTGAGCAGCAGTGACGCTCACTGAAGGTCTTCTCAAGTTGTGGTCTACATTTATCCTTGTTACTGGTCGTAAATGAAATTTTCATTGCTGTTTGTGTATTGGAAAGTTTTCGTAAGAATTTTTTTATGGAATAATTTTCAGCATTTAATGAAATATAATTAAGGCTGTTATGCTCGTGTAATGAATAACTTTGTATATGTGCGTTCACTTAAATGTGGCTTCAGGGGTCGAGTCTTAGCTCATGGCTACGTCTCTCGACTTAGGGCTTGGCAGATCCACTCCCTCCTAGTCTTGTGCCTTAACGTACCTTTTTCGTTTTTCACCTTTCAAACAGCCTATCCTTGTCTACCTTATCAATTGCCCTGAGTATTTTGTATGTTATCATATCCTCCACTGGTTCGTCAGTCTTCCAATGTTAGATTCAATTTTATAAGCCTTCCCTCGTAACTCATACCCCATGTCTCAGGAACAAGCCATGTTACACACTTCTGTACTTTCTCCATTTTATTAACTTGCTTTTATAGGTGCTGGTTCCATACAGGGGTGCTGATTTATGGCATACAGATGTCGAATATATGCTCTCGAACCCGCCAGATAAACTAAAGCCAGGTTTGCTGCCCTCTCCTTTCACACTCTTCTCGGTCCCTCTTCTAGATGCAGTACAGTGATTTGGAACTTAGGACTGTGCGATCACTAACACCTGGTGGTATTCCATAACCAATTCCCTGGTATGTTTTTTTTTTTCAGCTTCTTCAGTCTATAAGGGATCTTTAACTTTAGTGGGCCATCCTCCTGATCTGTTGCCTTGCTTTTTGGTACTCCAGGTATTGCATTTATTATTGCCCCCAAGCATTTTGTCTCTAAGGGCCAAAATATGTGGTTGTTCCCTTATTTTGTCTTATAATGCACTCCTTTCATTATTTGTGTATCTTACCCATATCTTTCTCTCGCTATTTGTTGTTTATTATGTGTCTGCTCTTCAAAAGATGCCTTAATGCTGAAAAGGGGCTCTTAGTAAAAGAAAAAAATAACCAATTCATCCCTTCCATGGGTGAAACCTGAGTGCCCCCCTCCACCCATTTACCAGATGTTATGTGACCCAAGGTTTCTGGTTTACCTGGAGTTTACCTGGAGAGAGTTCCGGGGGTCAACGCCCCCGCGGCCCGGTCTGTGACCAGGCCTCCTTAGGTCATTGTCCCAGGATGCGACCCACACCAGTCGACTAACACCCAGGTACCCATTTTACTGATGGGGAACATAGACAACAGGTGGAAAGAAACACGCCCAATGTTTCTACTCTGGCTGGGAATCGAACCCAGGCCCTCACCGTGTGCAGCGAGAGCGTTAACCACCAGGCCACCGTAGGCATTCTGTGAATGGAGGAGAGGCTTAGGATAGGATTTGGGGTTCAGCTGGAATGTGAATAGGAAATGTGGGTTTAGGAATATGTGAGGGGGAGAAGGCATTGTGATATGATTATTATCATATAAAAACTGATAATCTGTATAAATATGTAGGGTAAGGTTGTTATGAGATAGCTGTATGCTTTACCTCACTTTATCCCAATTGTTTTTCCAGCAGCACCTGAGTAGCAGCAGTCGGAGCAGCAGCAGTCAGCTCAAAAGATCGCAACACACCTCACACTCACACTCCTCCACGAACTTAAGTGAAGTTAAGTCTTCCAGTAACCTAAGTGAACACAAGGCTTCTGCAAGCATTAACAAGTCAAACCTTTCAGAACTCAAGTCGTCTATGTCTGAAGTCAAGTCCAATATCAGTGAGATGACAGCAGTAAGTTCACCTCTTCCAGTGTTTCTCAAATAGAGTACCATATCTTAATTGAGAAAAACTCAGTGTTTGTATGTCACTATCTATTATAAAAGGCCAGAAGCAGTTACGATACTATGTACTTTCTAACTCTTTGTTATAACTTTCTATCCATATTACCCAAGGTTCCCAACAAAAGTAGATATTCAAAAGTTGTTTTAAATGCTTTATTAGTCTTTCATTTATCTGTTTACCCCACTACAGGCCAAACAATGACAAATAATTTTGTCTTTGTGGAATCAGTATCTGTATACAAAAACAGGAGAATGTGCATGTTGATGAAGGTGGTTTTACAGACACAAAAAGACCAAGAAACTAATCATAATAGACTGACTTGTTTTCCAACAATAACACTGTTGTAAATGTTGTTTCGGTCTATTAATTACTGAACTTTCCTAAAGTAAGCTCGTGTTTATTGCCTACAAAAATAACTACAATTTATAACACGATTAAATTTTTTTGTCAATTCCTTTGAAAGGACAGTGTACATTTCTTTTATAATTTATGTCCTTATGTTCATGATTGTATCATATAACTCTAAGGCATTAAATCCAGACTTCAGAATTAAGTACAGGCAACTCATTGATTCATAATATTAATTAGAATCTGATACTGTAATGTGGCATATAAAATACAGTACTATTTTTAATGCTGCTTTAATTCACATAACAGAAATTGAGTGCATATCTCAAGTGATTGTTCTTCACAACAAACTGTTATAGTACATACCTCACTGCAGTGATTTTTTTCATAACAGTGTGCCAGTAATATTACCAGTACGTATTCCTTACAGTACTTATTGACACTTCGCTGTACTTCTCTTTATTCTATTACCTAAATATAACAATGGTTATAAATGACCATAATTTTTAAAGGGGTGGACCGGTAAGCCAGCGGAAGGCCTCGGTCAGATGACCAAAAGCTCCAAAGGCGGGTCATCATCTGACTAAGACCCGCGTCAGGAAACATTTGTCCTGTTTCCTGACGAACCTTACCTAACCTAACCTTCTATTACCTTTTGCCATTGATTTTGAGTCTTTGACTTCTTGTTTGCAAAACTGAGAGTCTGGTGAAGTGACCTGGATGGCAGTGAACACCATAACTTGCTGTTCAGCCATTGACCTTCATAATACTGGCCTATGATTTGTTCATTGTCACTGACTCTGAGTGTTACTCCTGAGCACTTTCTTATACAAGCCTCAAATCTGCTAATTGGAGCATGTACCAGCATCTGAATTCAATCACTGTCTGTAGTCTGACACTCCTCTCCTTACTTATCCACTATGTGAACAATTTGTTTTTTTCAAGCTTATTACAATCTGTGGTATAAACCTTGGTAATAAATACCAACAAGTTAGTTTAGAAAGACACGTAAGCAAACACTATAACATATTTATTAGAAAACGTTTCGGTCCTGGGACCTTGATCACTTCTAACATACAGAGGTAGAAAAACATTATATATATAGGCGGAGAGTGAGGTGTGACGCACGTGACCTGAGGAATGTCATAAGAACATAAGAATGGAGGAACACTGTAGAAGGCCTACTGGCCCATGCGAGGCAGGTCCTTATCAAAACAACCTCTACCTATGATGAGGATGGGTAGACGATGAAATCATGTGACTCCTGTGTTGTTGGGTTGGTGGTGCTTAAGTATCATGTATGCCAATGTTTTTGAAATTTTGCAGTTTCCAGTGTTGCGTTCTATAGTGTCGGTGACGGCGATTAGTGAGGCTTCTAGGCACCGTCGGCATCTGAGGTCTGGTTCGGTGAGAACGAGTTGTGCCTCATTCCAGTTCATCAAATGTCCCGCGGAGTCTCTGTGGAGGACACAGGCGTACCTTACATCGTCTCTGTTAGAGGCATTTCGATGCTCATTCAGGCGGACTGCAAGATCTCTGCCTGTCTCGCCTGCAGAGATCTTGCAGTCCGCCTGAATGAGCATCGAAATGCCTCTAACAGAGACGATGTAAGGTACGCCTGTGTCCTCCACAGAGACTCCGCGGGACATTTGATGAACTGGAATGAGGCACAACTCGTTCTCACCGAACCAGACCTCAGACGCCGACGGTGCCTAGAAGCCTCACTAATCGCCATCACCGACACTATAGAACGCAACACTGGAAACTACAAAATTTCAAAAACATTGGCATACATGATACTTAAGCACCACCAACCCAACAACACAGGAGTCACATGATTTCATCGTCTACCCGTCCTCATCATAGGTAGAGGTTGTTTTGATAAGGACCTGCCTCGCATGGGCCAGTAGGCCTTCTACAGTGTTCCTCCATTCTTATGTTCTTATGACATTCCTCAGGTCACGTGGGTCACACCTCACTCTCCGCCTATATATATAATGTCTTTCTACCTCTGTATGTTAGAAGTGATCAAGGTCCCAGGACCGAAACGTTTTCTAATAAATATGTTAGTGTTTGCTTACGTGTCTTTCTAAACCATTACAATCTGTAAATATGACATGAACATGATACAGTAAGTATAGTACCAGTATATGTCATTTCATAAAATACAGTGAAGTTAGCAGAAACCATCTAACTGGCTGGAAGAGAGGTGTGGTGGAGCTGGGTTTTATTATACATGTAGATGGAAGGAGTATGGGAGTTAACAGTAGATTAAATGGGTAAGTGAGAAAAAAAGAAAGCAAATTTTCAGTTACATTTTTTGTATACAAGTAAAACATTTAAAATGGATATATTCTGAGACTGCAGATATCACATTTCTTGACTAATTTTTACCAAAAAATAGCATACTCGGCAGTGAGAATAATACATAATAATAATAATAGGGGATGAGCTTACCCCATATGCACCAGACAGTCATATTAATTTAAAAATAAATGATTATGGTTAAAAAACTGAAAAAAAAATATTATCCATAATTTATTCATAATAATCCTTCATGCTTTTACCCTTCCTCCTCACTCCACTCCCAACCAATCATCCAGTTGTCCTGGTGAATCATAATTATGTACATGTGAAGACACATTTCCCTAAGGATGACAAAACATAAGTTCATATATTTATAACATCTTTATTGGATATGTTTTGGTCCAGTGACCTTGGAGCCACCAAGGTTTCAGGACCTTGGACCCATATTGTTGGTATTACTATGGCTTCTAAATTCATATACATATTCCCAATTCTCTTTATTCACTTCCTCCATTCCTCGTCTTGACTTTGCCTTATTCATCTGTTTGACGTGGTGCATGAAACCTAGCCGTAAAATTTAATTAAAAATGTACTTACTTGACTTGGGCGATTGCATAGGAGTGCTTAGAGAATTACTGGTAGAAATGGACTAACTGCATAAAAGAAAGCTCGCAAAATGAGACACCTATATACATGTACAGTACTCATTTGGTGTGTGTATGGTGAGCAGACAGCTTATTGATGATAATCCCGTCGAGAAATTTGAACTTATTTTTATATTTTGGTGAGTTTGGAATGTTTTAATTTGGTATTATAGAATTTTATCATGTGCATTGATTTGTGTATGTTTGGCAGGCTCATATTTTCTTTTGGTCCAAATTTGTTAGTAATGTGATGTTTTTATGGTAATGAGGAGCTGTTAACTGGGAGGTACAGGTTCTAGATAAGCAAAACTGTTCTTGAAAGTATTCTTAGTTGCAAATAAAATTATACTAACTAAACTGTTGTTAATCGGGGTATATGTAATAAATATAATGTGATAAATTTAAATACTCCTTATATCAATACTGTATTTTTAAACTTAGCCTTGTAACAGGAATAATTCTACATGGTTTAGTTTTGTTGCCACCCATAATTTGTTAATTAGGTTTTTGATTGTCAGTCTGCTAAGTTGGCTTTATTAGTGAATTATTACATTTACTGGTAAATGCTTGTTTTTATACTACGTATAGTCATCACAATGAATAATGGGTAAATATTTTTGAGCTCAAAAATGCTTAATTAATTAAACTTATTTTTATTGTGAAACTGCCGGCTTCATGTGTACTAATATGCAATATATTTATAGACTACTGTACTGTATTTACAAAAATAATAATGAATTATCATTGTTTACATTGCAGCAAAGCAATAGTGTGAACTATAATCGATCCATGTCCCTGGCCAGCAATGCTGCCCTGCAGCAGGGTGCATCTTCAACAAGTCTGCAGTCAGGCTTTAACAAGCGCAAAGCTTCAGGCTTTAATATGGGGTCCATGGATGCCCTTAATGATGCCCTTCAGATGGGATCAACAGAGCAACTGGCACTTGAGGATGATTTTGACCTGCAGAACCTGGCAGTTCAGCAGGATCAGCTCAGCTCCTCACCTCTCACCTCAGGCTCCGCAAATGGAAATAATCCCAAAGAGCTAAAATATGAACAGAAGAAAGTGACATCTTCATCAAAAACAAAGGTTAGAGTTTAATTTACTTATATAACTCATAAATATACAATGCTTGTAGTGTTCTGACAAATGAGATGGACTTGTTTTTTAAAAGTGCAACGATGTATTATCTTTTTCTTATCTTACAAATATTTCATTGAGTGAAACTTAGTGAAGTACAATATAATGTAGCATATGAGAATGTTTGCTAAGACATCATATTCATTAATAAAATATGCCTATTAGTTTTCAAGAGCTACATGTCTCAAACTTTTACAGGTTGTGACAGATAAAAATAGCTATGAATCTGCCTCAGGACAGTCATCAGAGTCTAGAAAACTGCAAGCAGGGGATGTGTCGTATGCAGAATCGTCAAAGAAGGCTGCAACCAAAGCAAAAATAGAAGTTGATGGCATTACAGCAGAAAAGGCCGCAGCTGTCTCACAGGTGAGTTAACTATTTGTATTGTATTTGGGAAGTTATTTTTTTCTGAGTTTTAGTTTTATAATTTTACATTACAATATACAGTACTTTAGCTGTAGGTTTGCTTGGGTTAGGCTCCTAGAGTTCCTCATTCAGGGTCAGCAAATTCCACTAAATTACATCTGTTAAAAATTTTGTTTTGGCTTTGGGCTCATTTCATGTTTCACAGCCCAGGTCAACCAGGCTGTGATAGATATGCTGGCTAGGAACAGCCTGGTTAATCAGGCAAGCACCAGACAAACCTGGCCCAGGGCCAGGCTGCATGTGTAAGGGAACTCTTGAAACTCATCAAAGGTATGTCAGAGGCCACATATATTTAAATATTGCTTGACCCTCATTAAAATTGATTTTCATCACAGATTTTTGTGTGGGAAATCCAGTGAGTTGATTATCTAATGTAATCCTATTGTTGATTTTCATTTTAAGGGTTATATGAAAAGCTAAAATAAAATGGGTATCATGGTAAACAGCAAAGATTAAAAGCTCTTCAACATTTAACCCTTTCACTGTCTAAACCCCTGAAATTAGTAGTGCTCCTAGTGTCCACTTTTTTTTTTGTTTAGTATTTTTTCTTCTGAAATGGTAGAAAATCTTTCTGAAGGCAGTGATACCAAAAGTATGAAATTTGATGGAAAACTTATGGAATTATGCAGGCACAAATTTTGCAGTCTGGGCTCAATTTATACATTTGAGTCCTATTTCAAGTCAATTCCATTGCTCCATTTGACCAAGTTTTTAGTTATTTAGCTAGTGTGTCTTCTGTTTTCTCAGTTGATCACACGAAATTTGCCATTCAACAATTACAACCACCCCATATAATGCAAAGAAGTCAGTAATTTAGCCAGTTTTACACAATTAAAAAAAATACTGATTTCAAAATAGTGTAAAATAAACAATGTAGACATTTCTGGAACTATAACAATATTTCCTCTCCCGTATTACACTTGCCTTCCATGTTGAATTCATAATCAAATAAAAATGAAAGATTTACTATATTTCCTGATAATAAAATAAGCCAGGAATGATTGGTCATGGTTTACAGCATCCCAATGATTAAGTCAGACATTAAAAAAGCTTTTTCCATCATGCTCTGTCTGAGGCAGGTTTTTCTTTTTATACTGTGCACACTCACTGTGCAGACCCATTCTCTTATATCTAGGCCAAAATTTGCCACTCCCAGCTTTATTTGAGTGAGCTGAGCTCATGACGTAGAACTATGTGAGGGACCCTGGCCTCGATGATGTCGTTCTACATAATGGCCCCTGAAAGTGTTAAAGCATGCAAATTTGAAGGTTTGGTTATTTACTTGTACCTTCAACTTTGTTTATCAACATACCGTACCTCAGCATTCCTTGTGTATTCTCTTTTTAGACACTTCTTGCTTTTTCGTTTGCTTTTCATTTTTTTTTTGTCATTTTAAGTATTTTTCCTCTGGGTAGTTTAACATTCATCTACACATACTGTGAGAATGGGAAGTTGCAGAAATTCATCTAAAGAATATTCATGAATTTCCTTGAAATTTATCATCATTGTTGATGGGGAGGCATAGGCCAACAACACAAATGGTTCTAGCAGTGGAAGCTATATTTTTGACATGTTTGTTCCTGGCAATATCCAGGTGGTTGATTTTGGCAGACAGCAAGGGTTCCCCATCCCCCCACCCTACCCCAAGACCCAATTAGCATAAAAAAAAAACTGAGTCATAAATATAAATGAGAAATAAACAATTTTACACGTTACCTTTTGTGTTGAGATACGAATATTTGACTTGAGAAGGAGGATGTGGTGGTAAAGGGAAGGTGCATCATGAACATTGTTATATATGGCCATAGATAATTCTACTATAGGTATGGGGGTTGCTGGTTGGTTCACTAGATGCAAGATTGAAGGAGTGGTACTTGGCTTTCTTGAAATCATGAGTGGACTTATGCATGAGCTTTCAGTTGGAAGGACATAGTCATGATCTGGTTAAAGCATATTATTAAATGCTATTGCAATGCTATAAAATGAATATGCTGACTGCAACACACTGTTTATTGCATAAAACAGCTAAGATGCAAGAGATTGCTTACTGCGAGCATTCTGCTGAGGTTGTAGCGGGAAGAAGCCTATATGCTATATTTAATCCTGTTCTGGTGAATTTATGGGGATTTAACTAAATATCTGCTTCCTTGGATCAAATCTGATTTTCTCCCATTTCTCAGGCACTGTATGAACCTTGTGGGTTTAGTGCTTCCCCAGTAATAATAATAATAATAATAATAATAATAATGTAGGTAGTAGGTTGGTAAACAGCAACTACCCAGGGAGGTACTACCGTCCTTCCAAGTGGGTGTAAAACGAAAGCCTGTAATTGTTTTACATGACTGTAGGATTGCTGGTGTCTTTTGTCTGTCTCATAAACATGAAAGATTTCAGGTACGTCTTGCTACTTCTACTTACACTTAAGTCACACTACACATACATGTACAAGCATATACATACACACCCCTCTGGGTTTTCTTCTATTTTCTTTCTAGTTCTTGTTCTAGTTTATTTCCTCTTATCTCCATGGGAAAGTGGAACAGAATTCTTCCTCTGTAAGTCATGCGTGTTGTAAGAGGCGACTAAAATGCCGGGAGCAAGGGGCTAGTAACCCCTTCTCCTGTATAAATTACTAAATTTAAAAAGAGAAACTTTCGTTTTTCTTTTTGGGCCACCCTGCCTTGGTGGGATACAGCCATTTTTTTCAAAAGAAAGAACAATAATAATAATAATAATAATAATGTGATGAATGGTTTAGAAAACCGACAAGTTGAAGAATTGAGACACTTATGCAACACATGGGAATCTTTATTGAAGAAATGTTTTGCCACACAGTGGCTTCATCAGACCAATACAAAGTAGAAATGGGTAAGGAGAGGAGAAGTTTGAGGTAATCAGTCCCTCAACCTGGAATCGATGTGTTCAGTCCATCACTCTTGAAGGAAATGCAGCATAGGGCCAGAGAGGTGGCTTATATACTGCAGTGAGATGAGGTGAAGCAGGTGGAGGCAGGATCACACTGCAGTATATAAGCCACCTCTCTGGCCCTATGCTGCATTTCCTACAAGAGTGATGGACTGAACATATCGATTCCAGGTTGAGGGACTGATTACCTCAAACTTCTCCTCTCCTTACCCATTTCTACTTTGTATTGGTCTGATGAAGCCACTGTGTGGCGAAACGTTTCTTCAATAAAGATTCCCATGTGTTGCATAAGTGTCTCAATTCTTCAATAATAATAATAATAATAATAATAATAGTAGTAGTAGTAGGTTGGTAGACAGTGACCACTCAGGGAGGTACTACCGTCCTACCAAGTGAGTGTAAAGAGGAAGCCTGTATTTTGTTTTGCATGATGGTAGGATTGCTGGTGTCGTTTTTTTCTGTCTCATAAACATGCAAGATTTCAGGCACATCTTACTACTTCTACTTACACTTAGGTCACACTACACATGCATGTACATGTTTATGTATACACACTCATCTGAGTTTTCTTTGATTTTATCTTAATAGTTCTTATTCTTATTGCTTTTCCTTTCATATCCATGGGGAAGTGGAATAAGAATCTTTCCTCCATAAGCCATGTATGTTGTAAAAGCCAACTAAAATGCTGGGAACAGTGGGCTAGTAACCCCTCTTCCCATATAGCTTACTAAAAAGAAAAGGAGAAAATCATCAAAGTGGGATGTTTGATTTATTTATTTGACATGTGTTGGGGAGAGGAGTGGGATTAAATTATGGGGAATCAAGTACAAAATGGGAGTTGACACAGTTAGTTTTTGGTGATGATACTGTGCTTAAGGGAGATTGTAAAGAAAAGTTGCAAAGGTTAGTGGACGAGTTTGGGAGGGTGTGTAAAGGTAGAAAGTTGTAAGTGAACATAGATAAGAGTAAGGTGATGAGGGTATCAAACGATTTAGATAAAGAAAAATCGGATATCACATTGGATAGAGGGAGTATGGAAGAAGTGAATGTTTTCAGATATTTGGGAGATGACATGTCAGCAGATGGGTTTATGAAGGATGAGGTTAAACATAGAATTGATGAACAAAAAAAGGTGAGTGGTGCATTGAGGTATTTGTGGAGACAAAAAAATGTTATCCATGGAGGCAAAGAAGGGAATGTATGAAAATATAGTGGTACCAGCACTCTTATAAGAGTGTGAAGCTTGGGTTGTGAATGCTGCAACTAGGAGGTGGCTGGAGGCAGTGGAGATGTCCTGTCTAAGGGCAATGTATGGTGTAAATATTATGCAGAGAATTCGGAGTGTGGAAATTATGAGAGGGTGTGGAGTTAATAAAAGTATTAGTCAGAGGGCTGAAGAGGGATTGTTGAGGTGGTTTGATCATTCAGAGAGAATGGACCAAAGGAGAATGACATGGAGAGCGTATAAATCTGTAGGGGAAGGAGGGCAGGGTAGGGGTCGTCTTCGAAAAGGTTGGAGGGAGGGGATAAAGGTTTTGTGGGCGAGGGGCTTGGACTTCCAGCAAGCATGCGTGAGTATGTTAGATAGGAGTGAATGGAGATGAATAGTTTTTGGGACCTGACGAGCTGTTGGAGTGTGAGCAGGGTAATATTTAGTGAAGGGTTTCACTGGTGATTTTTATATGGCTGGACTTGAGTACTGGAAATGGGAAGTACAATGCCTGCACTTTAAAGGAGGGGCTTGAGATATTGGCAGTTTAGAGGGATATGTTATAGTATATCTTTATATATGCTTCTAAACTGTTGTATCTGGGTGCCTCTGCAAAGACAGTAATTATGTATGAATGAGGTGAAAGTGTTGAATGATGATGAAAGTATTTTCTTTTTGGGTCACCCTGCCTTAGTGGGAGATGGCTGACTTGTTGGAAAAAAAAAAATATAATATCAATAAAAAACCCAAAAAACAAAATACTTCTTGTTTTGCCAAATCAAAGGGAAAAACAACATCCAGTATT